GAAATAATGCTATTCAGAAGTAAAAAACGTGAAATTATTACCAACGAGCCAACTCGTTCGAACGCCTCCATCACTTTCGGATTCTCCTCGTATTCATAACCCACTTGCAGTATCCGAGGTCCATTAACAGACCACAAAGCTCTTCGGCCAGCTTCCTGTAAGAAGAATAAAATAAAATAAAATATAGATAGAAATTCAGGGTTGATTTTAAAGGGTATAATAATTAATATATAACTACTTCACCTCTAAGACGATCAAGTATATAGCGTCGAGTACTTGGGCACGGATTTCGGGATCTGCTTCTAATTCACGCTCGATCGAGAGTGCGCTTCCTAGCTCGAGGGGCATTTTAGAGGTGTCTTCTTCACTATAAACCTGTCATAAAAAGTCGATTAAAATAGTAATTAAAAATCGAAGTCCGCACTTAAAAAATGTTATCGAATATAATCATTGCTTATCTAAAGAACTGAGCATTCTTACAAACTAAATATAATTCAGTGACTTGTCTCAAGAAATTGGGTTTATTTTAAGCATAATTAATATTTATTATTTATTATTTATTATTTATTATTTACCTTGTTTCCAGCAACTGGAAGTAGTAGTGCAGGCCAAAGAAACTCCGATATCAGAAGCAGATTCTGCAGCTGATTTTTGGCTTCAAAACAGCAGTTCCGAATAGTTCCCGATACCTGTACGAACAAAATAAATCTAATTATTTTTAATAAAACATAATCCCATATATTACGAAACCATGGCAAATAAACATATATAAGCAAAAATAAAATAAAATAAAATAAAATACCCCCTTCTTCCGCAAGGGGCTAGGTGAATCAAATTGCCGAATTATTTGCTTCATAAGTCCTCGTTTGGGGTCGAGTAGAAGCTTTCTTCCGTCTTCTTTCTGCGAAATATTTACGAGTATAGAAGCCACATGTTCAAAGGGATCACCTGATAGATATATTATAACACAAAATAGATTAAAATACATTTTTCTTACGATTACATGTACGCGACCAATTGCCAAAACGCAAATCTAATTATTAAAAAAAATTGAAACGGAAAAACTCACCTTCTTTTCCGCTAGACGACGTACAGAATGATCTCACCAGCTTCATGATATATAGACCCCGCATTTTCTCGTCTTCATTCTGACAGCCG